TCGATCATGAAGTGTTTAGTAATGAAATAGTTGGGGAGCCCACTGAAGTACTGCTTGATCATTATAACAGGAAAAAGTCTAAGTCTGGTACCAAAAATCTGACTTGAATAATCACAGCAGAAAGCCCCAGCCTCTTATCTGATTTCCTGTCCTAAGTAAATTCACAGACCTTCTATTAAATGCTGGGTCCCTCTGAGGAAAGAACATACACTATTGCCAAAAGTACCCACCATAATAAATCTTCCTTTAAGTCTTTCCCAAGAAAAGCCATTTACTAGAATGACTATAGACTAGAGAAAAGGAAATACCCAGACTTTTCAGAGGTACTGGCTTTAAACTGATGCTCATGCCCAAGGGCCACCAATGCCACACTGTCCTAATAATGTCTGTAAAGAAGTACGAGGATGTACCTCTTAGAATGAGCATAGACTGTGAAGATATTTGTGTCCATGTGAATGCCCATCAAAAGGCATCCACTACATGGGAGACTTACTAATCAGGTAAAAGAAATGGCATATATACATATACACTCTGTGCAAAGGTATTAATCAGCCTCTTTCTCTAACCAGCCCACTGTTTGCTCAAGGGATGCCTGAACAAAGTGACCATGGTGGCAGGGTCAGAAGCTATGCCTTGGGCTTAACAACATGATCTTCCCACTAAGGATGAGCTGGCTAACAACACTACTAAGTGCCTAACCTGTCAACAGCAGAGATAAGCTGGTCTTGATACGGCACAATTTCCTGGGGGCATAGTAACCAGCTATCTGGCAGCACGCTGATTACAATGGAGTAGAAATTAAAGCTCACTAGAATAGGCATACATTCTAGAGATGGATTTGCCTACCCTGCCCCTATGCTTCTGCCACACCACCACTATTTGTGGACTCACAGAATATGACCCATCACATTGCATCTAATAAATAACTCAGTTTACAACAAAGGAAGTTCAGCAGTGGGTTCATATCCAGAGAATTAGCTGGAGTGCCACATGCCTCACCACCAGGAAGTAGCTAAGCTGATGTAAGGTGAAATGGTTTACCAAAGACTCAGTTACAGCTACAAATGGGAGACAACACCCTGAAAATCTGGGCTTATATAATGGAATATATATGTTTTCCATTTAGATACATTATATAGTTTCTCTTCTATAGTCAGAATAAATGGACCCATGAATCACTGGGTCAAAGAGTGGAAATGACTCCTTTCCCTGATGCACTCAGTAACCCACTCCAAGGATTTTTTGTTCCCATCCTGGCAACTTTGAGCTCTGTTGATTTGGACTTCTTAGTCTCCAAGGGAAGAATACTTTAGCTCTACTTTCAAAATATATCCAGAATTCAATAATCTCTTACTATCTCTGTTACTGTTATTGTAGCCCAAACCACAATAATTTCTTGGTTGAACAATTTCAAAAACCTGCCCAATCTCCCTTCTATTCTATTCACATGGCAGATAGTGATTTTGAGAAATGCAAATCAGATCATGTCTCTCCTTTGCTTAATACCTTCTAATGACTTCTCAGAGTAAAAAGCCACAAATCTTTGTCATGCTTAACAAGGCCTTGTGCAACTGACAATCATTTATCTAGATCTCATTTTCTGCCCACCACCTCCTATGTTCTAGGCATAGTCTCCTTGTTTGTCTTTAAACACATTAGACCCATTTTCCTTCTCAAAATATTTGTGCCTACTTATCCTCGGTGTAGTGGGCTCTTTGCCAAGATACCCATAGGATTAGCTCCTTTCCTCATGCAGTCTGCTCAGTTAACAACCTATTTTAGGGAAACAGAAATCTGGGTTGTATGAAGAGAAGGAGACTGTCATTATTTTGACATACTTTTTAAATAATTGTAGAAACCACAACATTCTACTCTATGGTAAGTTGTAGCACAATCATCTGAGGTGTGTCTCCTCCCTCTGCCCCTATCCTCCCACCACTGCTTCCCCATGGCTAATATAATTGTAAACTAAGCATGTGATGTGATGTCTTTAGTTCTTTTTCTTATATTTACATGTATTTTTACAGTGGAATAGATGGGGCTGCATTCTGGCAGCCAGACCACGCTTTTAGGTTTTGCACCCATATGTAGCTATTTATTCCTTGCATCTTCTCCCCTTTGCTAGTTTGGCTTCTGCTAGTATACCTGCTATCTGTGCTTGTTTATTACTGTATTGGGGGCATCTTAGAACTTGCGATTTTTGTATGCTCTTTACCTGACTTTCATTATTGGCTGAGGAATTTTGAAAAAGTCAAGGAACATTTCTTAACCTTGGATACCTCATCCATAAAATGAAAATTATAATAAAGCTTGTTTTACAGTTTTGTTTTATCAGTCACTGAGATAATGCTTTGTAAAATGCTAAACAAATATTAGTTATTTTTAGAATGTCAGAATTTCTTGGTATACTTTCCTCTACCAGGCACAGTCATAAGCTATTATCAATAAATTACCAACAACAATGGAAAACAGCTCTGAAGGTTCACCTGAATAGCTTCCAAATTGTAAGACACTCAGAACGTAAAAAAAGAGACAGAAAGAAATCACTGAATGATACCTCAGATTCATTCAACTTTAAATATAAATCTGAACCTCATACAAATACAAACCACTTCTGTTTCAGAGCTCTGGAGTGCATTAATATAAGCCCAGGTTGCTAGGAAGTGAACATGGTACATTACTAAATATTATTAATATATGTTATGTGCACAATTTCTGCATCTTTAAACAAAACAGGAAACAAGATCATGTCTTTATTTAAAATGCTGATAAATCTAATTTAAATATACCATAGAAGTTAGAAGGAGGTTGACAGAAACTAGAACATAAAGCAAAATGTGAAAGACTTTGGGGAAACGGAAGTTGGTAGCTTCTTTATGAGGGAAGAAAACAGGCATCTAATGTGAAGCAGGGTCAAGAGCCAGATGAGACAGGCTGCAAAGAGCTTTCTGGTGTGCTCCTCTCCATCCTCCACACAAGCCACCTAGATCATTGTTTTCCTGTAGCCCGTGTGGCAGGAAAACAACAACAACTGCACATGGAGGAGTGGCAGCGTAAGTTAATGCAGCCCAGCTAGGGTGGGAGAACAAAGCAGCCTGCTTTGTGTGGGCCTGCCTCTGTTATAGCCCAACTTCAAGAGCCAACTAATGTCCACACAAGGAAGGGGCACTTTAAAAATAGGAGTGCAGGCTATTTATAATAGCCAAGAAATGGAAGCAACCTAAGTGTCCATCAGTAGATGAATGGATAAAGAAGAGGTGGTACATATACACAATGGAATATTATTCAGCCATAAGAAGAAAACAAATCCTACCATTTGCAACAACATGGATGGAGCTAGAGGGTATTATGCTCAGTGAAATACGCCAGGCAGGGAAAGACAAGTACCAAATGATTTCACTCATCTGTGGAGTATAAGAACAAAGAAAAAACTGAAGCAACAAAACAGCAGCAGAATCACAGAACCCAAGAATGGACTAAGAGTTACCAAAGGGAAAGGGACTGGGGAGGATGGGTGGGAAGGGAGGGAGAAGGCGGGGGAGAAGAAAGGAGGCCTTACAATTAGCATGTATAATGTGGAGGGGGAAGCACAGGGAGGGCTGTGCAACACACAGAAGACAAGTAGTGATTTTACAGCATCTCACTATGCTGATGGACAGTGACTAATGGGGTATGTCGGGGGGACTTGGAAAAGGGGGAAGTCTAGTAAACATAATGTTCCTCATATAATTGTAGATTAATGATACCAAAATAAAAAATAAAAAATAAAAAAAACAGGCCAGTATAAAAAAGAAAAACTACTTGAAGTAATAAGGAAAACATTTGTGCATGCTAAAAAAATGTGTCTAAAAAAAAATAGGACTACAGGTACTGTGTTCTCCAGTGAGCACAGTCACCTGATGAAAATGGACTTGAGACCAGATGGGAATGCTAGAAGGTCTTGGCTCTGAAGTCTTAACCCAAAGGCTTTTTTTAGGTGGCTTTTTTTAGGACCATGGGTTTCACCTTTTCACCTTTTCTCTGGGTTTACAATAAAGCCAAAATAGCTGACATCCCAAGAGAGTAAGAAATCACAGGGGAAATGACCAAGACAATTGGGAACTCAAAATCTATAAAAGAAAAAAAAAGAAGTAAGAATAAGAGAATGCCTAATTCTCAGTCTTATGAGACTTCATACTCATCAGAAAAATATAATAATGATGAACCATGCAAATTTTGAATGTACACCAAGCACAGCATATATATTTTTACAGATAAAGCATAAGTTGATAAGAGACACATAAACCATGAAGAGGAACTAATTGGAGATACTGGTGTGAATAATGTAAATATGAAATAAGGACCTAAAAATAGAACAAAGAAAAAAATTAGTAACTGGAATATCAGATCAAGTGATATTTCACAGAAGGCACACAAAAGAATTAAATGGTTAGCAAAAAAAGGGATATCTAGATATATGGACTATAAAAACAGAAGTGCCATCACCCACATATATACCAGAAAGAGAGAAGAAAATAAATTGGAAGGAAGAGACATTTGAAACAATAAAAAAACTCTGTTTGTAAGAAAATGAAAAATGCATGTATTCTGTTGAACAGAAAAGTAAAAATCATGTACTTGTAGGCTTACTGTAACATTTGAGATCATCTAATACAGAAAACATTCTAAAAGCTTCCAGAGAGAAAAATGCAGATAGCCCACAATAGCATAAGTACCAGATTATAATCAGATTTCTCAACAGCTATACTGCAATGCCAGAAGGTAATGGAATAATGTTTATGTGTTGATGGAAGAGAAATGTGGACATATATTTTATCCAGTAAAGCTATAATTTAAATGTGATGGCAAAATAATACTCTCAGGCATATGAGACTTCATACAATTTACTACACAAAATTTTCTTTCAAAGCACTCTTGGAGGAGGTACTCAAACAGAAATAGAAATGCATTTAAAAAGAAGCACAATTTAGGAGGCAACACTGAATAAGTAAGTTGACAAAGCCTTACCGTGGTATAAATAAACAATGTCCTCAAATCAAGAGAAGAGCAGGAAACGGAGTTGGTGAGGTTGGGGGTTTACCCTGTTTTTACAGAAAACAGGGAAGAAAGAAATAAATATTGATGCCTTAAGAAAGAGATAAGAAGAAGTACACATAAACATACATAAAACAATGCATGTGTGTGAGTCACCAAGAGTAAATATCCAATGAACAAACTTTCAAATCAGAGGAAGAAAATTTAAGTCATTTAGTGCAGTTAGGAAAGAAGAAAAGCATGTAGTAAATGAGAGTATGAAATCAATATGATATATAGAAACCTGATACACAAAGGCAGAAGGGAGTCCTAATGTAACAGTAGTTATAATAAATGTAAAAGGATTAGACTACAAACTAAGAAGATAAAGTCCCTCTGATTATATAAACCATATACATGTCACCCATAACAACTTTAAAATTAGACAAAAAATAAAATTTTGGTGATAAATGTCAAAAGAGAAAATGAGGGGAGTGCTATATTAGCTAGCAGGATAATAGAAAAGAGATTATCAAAAGATATGAATGTATGTAAACCTAACTGTAAAATCATAAATAAAATAATATCTGTTAGAATTCAGAGATTTTAATATCATCTTTTAATACTTTGAAGCTAATGTATCAAAAAGATAAAAAGCAAACTATCTAAAATATAAACATAAGGTGGAACATTTTCAAAAATTTAATGTGTTTAAGGTCTTTATATACATATATCTTTGTACCATAAAACAGTAATATTAGAAACCAACAAACATAAAAGCAAATATAACTAAAAAATTCTACATACACATTGAAAAAATTATGTTAAGTAACTCTCTACTGAAGAAATACTTAATTAAATAATGAATAAAAAGAAGAAATTCAAATAAAAAATGTGCCATAAAGCATAGGCTTTGAGAAAAATATGTGTGCAAGTTAAGAAACAGTAAGAGAAACAGCAAAATAAATGCAAAGAAACAGGAAGGATAGAAATATTAAGGAACAACTAATTAATAAGGGTAAGAGTACAAAATCAAGATTTACTCTGAATCTGCTATCTAAAGCCAAGAAAAAAATAGAGTTACCCAATAAGGAGTACGTTTATTCATTGATCAACTCTAGAAGTACATAATAATACACAAAGCACATAATGCATAGTTAGGTGGGTTTTATCTCTGGAATGGTTAGATTAAAATATCTGAAAATTTGTCAACATAAATTATCCTATTAATGGACTAAAGAAGAATGGCATGGTCATTTCAGTTGATGCAGAAAAACTTTTGATAAGGTTTAATTCTAATCTCTGATATACAAAACCCCAGAAACTAAGGAGTAAAATAGTAAAACTGAAAATAGTAAAACTCTTGCTATATTACCTTAGGATGAGGAACAGGGAATCTGCTGCTATCAGGTTGCATAGTGGGGAGTTGAAGATAACTTCAGTATCTATTACTGTGGGAAAATGATCATAGAAATTTTATCTTTGAAAAGGGTGAAATGTTATAAAGCAGTCAAAAGTAAAAAGGTAAAATCTATACAGCACCATGATTAGATTTTAAAAACAGTAATGAGTTTAAAGTAAGCAATTAATTAAGATCTACAGTACAAAGTTATTAATATGAATTTAAATAACCACATATCAGAATATACTTTATAAGAATACACACATAATGAAGAATGTATTTTAAATACTCTAGCTCTGGTGTATATAAAGCAGACTCTAGTCAAGAAAAGGGAATCCATGCCAGGTAGTTTAATATAGGAAATACATTTCAAAGAAGTAGTAACATAATTGTTAGAGGGAGGGACTGAAAACTGGACAAAGTGTAATAAGTTCAGAAGCTACCCACCACTCCTAGGATGGTGTTCTGGGAACACAGAGCCAGGTCACAGAGGGAAGCTACAACCTCAGAAGAGGCACTCAAAGGCCCTCTCATAAAGCCATGAGCTGGAATGTGAAGCCAGAGCTCCCTGGATGGTGCTGGGACCAAGACTGGCTACATAATTTGCAGGGCTCAGTGCAAAATGAAAACCTGTGGCCCCTTGTTCAAAATGTGAACATTTCATGAAGGTGACAGCAGAGCATTAAACCGAGTGTGGGCCCTTCTGTGGGTGAGGCAACTGCATGGGTTTCACACCCATGAAGCTGGCATAGCTGGACCGTTGGGGAAGATGGAGGTGCTTGGTGGGAACTAGATTCATGGAAAGGGGGCTGCCTAGAGGATCTGGAGTCACAGTCAACCCAGGTGAAAGTGGAGCATGACAGAGGGGAATCATCTGGCTTTCCCCTCCTCTCCTTTCTGTGTTTGCTCAATTGTGCCTCCCATTGAGCCAGCTGAACTGGATGTCAAAAGGGTAAGGGAGACTGGACGGGCATTTCATGGAGGGTCAGTTTTTTGTGTTAAAAAGCAGACCAGCTGTATCTGAGCATCAAGGCAATGACTAGCCCAGGGCCTTTCCAAGAGAGGGAGACAAAGGAGATAGGTATGGAGAGTGAAATAATAATACTTAAGTGAGGGATAAGGCTTTGTATGCCAGGCTACCGGTGCACCATGAACTAAGCAACTTTGTGTATCTGAATAAACTAAAACAAAATGATATTATTGAAAATAATAAAAATAAGATTAATGAAATGAAAACATGATATAAGTTTTCAAATTAGCCAATCTACCATAATGCTTATTGTTTTCAATTTCATCTGTGGGAGATCAGAGACACAACTGTTCTGCATTTTGATAAATCTATAGTATGTCTGTGATACCATGTCATTTCTATTAGCCAAAGACTAGACCCAGCTGAAGGTAAAATAGAGAGTGAAATGAGACAATTAGCTTGACATTTTGAAATTATTGATCATTATTCTAAGTGAAGAAATGGTCTGGACTCATATTATTCAATGAACTAAAGAAAGGGGCAAATAAAAGATTAACACACATCCAGGGCTCAGGAGGTGTCGGCCTCCACTTGGCATGTGTTGCCTCATTGATCATCTCAACAACCTAGAGGAAGTATGGAGTAGGAGCCTGATTTTGCAGATGAGAAACCAATGGTGAGCATGGCTGAAAGCTTGCCCGCATCACACCATTACTGAGTGGTAGACCCAGGATCTGAACTCACTTGTCCTCTAGCGAAGATGAATCAGGAAGGTAAGAAATGGATCCAATGATAGCTGGGCTTCTGACTCAGTTCCCAGGTATAGGAGCTTGGTCACATCGCAGAAGGTCTAAGAAATATTCCTTCCTCCTGACTTAGAGTGGAGTCAGAATGGATGGGCAGGTTCTCGCCTCCATCACTCTCCATCCTGGCTCCTGGCACTTTCCAAAGGCAGGCAGGCCTCAGCCACAGGAAAGCATTGCTCCGAACATGACCTACCACAGTCTACAGGAGAGAATGAAAACGGGCTTGAGATAAATCCTAGAGAAAAACCAAAGGACACAGGTTGCTTACTTCATGTCTGTGTATAAACCCTTTATTTCTTTCACTGAAAACATTACACTCCACTGATAGCCTGGGACTCCATTTTTTCTTTATGCCTGTGAGATGGATTAGTCCTTCAAAATGTCTCTAAGGTAGGCACCAATTTCTCCCCTTGGCTGAGTGAAATTAGATATGTCATCAAAGTTATTAACATATTAAAAGTTCCATTATTGTGTATCTATCCAAATGTGAAGACAATGGCTAGTAATGCTAAACGCAATTTTTAAAAAAAGGAAAGAAAATGTCCATCCTTCTGGCCTTTGTCAGTGAGTACCTGGTTGTCTACATTCATTACACATAGAATTTGTTAAAAATTCACATTCATTTCGATATAAATGTGTTCTCTTTATTAACTTGCTCAGTGATTATAGGCTGAGCTTTCCAGTAAATGTGAAACTTACTTGCTTCTGCTTTGGATTATTTTGAACAGGAAGCAAGCAGCCCTGTAAACAAAGAATCATTCTGGAAGGAAACACAAGAATTAATGGCATCAGTTCTATATCAATATCTCAGGAAAAGCATGCTTTGTCCTCTGTCATTTCAGGATCTGCTCCTCTTGCTTTGCAAAAGGGCAGTAAATTCAGCCTTTGAATTTTTTTGAAGGAAATAAAGTTTGAATGTCAGGATCAAGACCAGTGATTAGGAGGAGGTAAGGCCAAGGTGAAGAGTCTTTAATCCTCTAAAACAAATCCCTATAAAATCAGATAGTAACGTAGAATTCTGAAAGGATTGTGTTGTTTGGGGAGGTTTTAAGTTGTCAAGGTGATATAAAGTAGAAAAAGTGCAGTGATGCTCTCCAATCCCCTGGCTTGTCAACAGCATGCATCACAACTGAAGCGGCGGAGGTGGCATTTGCAGAGAGGCAGTGTGAGCAAGTCTCTGGAGGGCCCTCGGAGAGACGGGAGGCTGCTCAGCTGCAGCGACCTGGCTGAGGAGGAGTCAAGGCAGAGCAGGGCTCAGGAGGAAACGAGGAGGGGCCAAAGAAGAGTTTGGTTCGTCAGGAACCGTCATAATCCCACGTCTTATCTCAGAAAGTGTTTTTTCCTCCCAGGTCTTTACAAACATCCCTGCTCATTTGCTGTTACTTGATTAACATTAGGTTCACTACTTTGTTATTTGTATGTATAATATGTCACACAGAAAAAAGGGAAAGCTGCAAACCCAAGAAAGAAGCGAACTCAGGTTTCCCAGAGAGGCATGTTCCAGGGAATTCCCCGCTCCTCCTCTGGGACTGCCCTCCCTTTCCTCCGCACCGTCTGCAGAGCAGTACTACAAACAGTACACCTGAGCAGGCTTCACACACCTCCTTCACCTTTTGCTCAGACACTACATCTTTACAGCTATTTTACTTCTCTGCATAATTGTATATTTAATAATTATAAAAGTTAGCCATGCTCATGTTTGAGAATCTGTCAAATTTCATAAAGTTCCAAAGTTTTTTCCAAACTCAAATTGTCTAGAAATGCTCCACTTAACATCAGGTATGCATCTAAGGTTGCACACACACAACACACACACACACACACACACACACACACACACACTATATCTATAAATCTATAAACTGGGTTATCTTGCTCTATGTTAAATGTGGCACTCTATATTCTTTACTTCATACTATACTGCACATATTTTCTCACAGTATTAATATTTCTTGAGTGCATCATGTATGGCTGCTACTTACTATGTCATCATGTACATGTACCCCAACCTCCTTAGCTGATGCCCCAATACTGGATATGTTCATTTTTTTCCTGAGGTCATTTATATCTACTCTATCACTCAGAATTACAAGGATCTTTTCTCTAGTATGTACTTCTCTGTCTAATAAGGGTGAATTGCTTTCCAATTTTACTTTCACAAAAGCAACTGAAGAGTCCAACTCCAGACAAGCATCCCATGTGTAGTTTTTCAGGCCTGCCCATTGGCAGTTATCAGGTTTTGCCTGGCAGATCCCTTAGGGAAGCCTGCCATCCCCATACCAGACTGGGTGCATGGACAGTTTTATTAAAGTTCTCTGGAGGGAATGGCACTAAAGGACATACTCCTCCTCTGCAGTCCACTCTGACACCTTCTCCACTCCTGTTCCTTCTTTGGCCCACCAGCCACCATGTCCTGAACTCATAAAAAAACACAGGAGCCTTTTGTTTAGCGCATCTGGATGGCAGGGCAGCTCCTGCACCTATACTGCCTGTCATCTGACCCTCCGCCAGCGTGGGTCCATGAGGAAAACGAAACACGAGAAAGCTGGTGCTTATTTTCCTCTCTTAATCACACTGTCACAGGAGGTGGAGAAAGGCTTGACTGTTCCTGGCAGGCTGGCTATTGTCCAATACCTTCTCACCCATCAGATCAGCACTAGTAAGAGATCCTCTTCCCCATCATCAGACATACAGTTGAGTGTTTTCTCTCATTTTTTTCAGTTTCCCAAAGGAATGAGTGGGGTCGGGGGGCAACAAAACAATAAAAATGAAATCAAAATTTAAAAAATGAAAATGAATGAAATAAAAATTTTAAAAGCTGGAGTAATGAGATTAGTATTTGTGGAGCAATTTCTCTTTTTGAAGAACTATCGTAGGCATTTTTAATCTATCACATTTACTCAGTATTTAGTTTCTCATGAAGCCTTCATAGGCTCTGGTAAGGCGAGTATTATTTACCCATTTTATTGAAAGGAAAAGTCAGATGCCAAATCCAAACAACAGTCTCTTGAAAACATTCAGCTTCCCCTCTGCGGCAATAGATCTGAGTAAAATTCCTCCTTGGCAAGCAGTGAAATATTTTAGAATAGAGAGAGTTTATGTTTTTCATTATCTTTAAAGACAGTATGTGTAAACAGATACGGAAGATCAACGTACATCTACTTTGGGTCCATAGCACCAAGGAAAACCTCATTTGCTTTGAGGCTTCCTCAGAACTGTGTTTTTGGCCTTACAAAGATGAGATTTCCAGGGGAAGCAGAAGTGAAAAATTGACTTTCATTCTTACATTCATTTGTTCCCCTTTGCGATTGGAGGTGACTGTCAGTAGAACTTTATTCCTCACAGGAAATAAAGCATATTTAATTTCTGTCAAGTTGAACTCAAAAAAACTCGGACAGATGGAAAGAACACTGTGAGACATACACCTGCTCCCTAGGTTTCACATGCCTTTATCATTTTTAATTATTCACCCTGGGGACAATAAAATATCAATAATAAGATGTAACTTTATTATGCAATGAGAAAAACTGTGCAAAAATAAGATATGATCCCCTCCCTTTAGAAGATGCTCATAAGACACAAAACAAAAATTTGATACATGGGTTTTGGAAAGGCCACTGAGATAAAATATAAAATGGATGCATTCATTATGAGCAGGCATGTTTACTAGTCTGCAGTATTTAACAAATGTTCATCAGCACGCTGCATCATTATTTCTGTTCTTCTATTTCAGAGATTTATATTTGAATGGAGTCTCAGAGAAATGACATAGAAAATGATTTTTGTAACTATTTCTGAAGGGAAATCACTGGAGGTGCATAAATTAGGACTGTGCCCCATACTGCAATAGTTAATTAAATAAGTTTCTTTGTCTGACAGTGGTGTCTTGAACGTGTCTTTTTAAAGTATGAGTTAGACATTTAAGGATCTTTCTAAACTAATTAATTTATCTATTCTTCAAATATGTTTGAGAGCCAATGCTTGCTGTGTACTGAGCCAGCTTCTAGGATCAATCTGACAATGAGTAAGAAAAAGCGAAGAAAGAAAGAAACCCAGGCCTTTAGAAACTGGCCAATGATGTAAAATCAGGCATTAGAGAAAATAGCCAGAATATAAGAAGTGGAAGCCACAGTGCTATGGAAATACAGGGGAAAGAGACTGAAATTCCATGAGCCAAACAGGTTTTTCTACCTTTCAGATTAGGCTGCTGTGGGTTAAAATGTGGCAAAATCAGGAGTGTTTGGGTAAGAAAAGTAAAATGGTATGAAATGAAAGAAACTGTCTTCCATATATTTTCTCAACATATAAACACTTAGCAGACATTCATCATAAAGTCTGTACTTGATGGCCAGAGATAAAATGTTAGTTAATATTTGCAGCTAGTAATATCAAACTGCTATAATTATAATATCTAGGCTATTTATGCTGTGTTGGTGCTTACAAAGACATTAGTTAGTAAAAGTGTATTTGAATTCTTATGAGTGCATTTGCATTTCACACATTTTATATTTCACAGGAAGGACTGCTGCTGAGTCAGAATGATATATGTTGATATTTGTAATTGATAAATCCTGAATATGATCGTGATTACAAAATGGCTTCTAGGCAAACCTAATTTATAAACAATCTAGTTATTTTTTTTAAATACCAGGCATATAAAAGGACATATGAAGGGAAAATTAAATAATAGAAATGACACTCATTACTTCTTCTTGTAATGCCCACACAAAACCCCAAAGTAAATGAATCTCATAAACTGGTTTTTTTTTTCATCCCAGTCACAAATAATAGTGACACCTCTATGGGCCTTGGCTATGGTGGGCTTCTATTGCCTGATACTTGGCTAACTTTATGGAGAAAATGCCAAGGATTCCTTGGTAGCTCTTAATGGGTCTTTGGCAGAGGGAGATGTGCTCTGCAGTGCCTCCAGCCCTTGACAGACAGTACTTCTCTCACAAGTCCCAACACTGCTGTTGTTCTGAGTAGGGCTAGCTCTCCATGTGGCTTTGACTCGGCCATCACATTAAACGTGGAGTACCTTTCTTTAATAACTTATTTCCTCCTAATATCCAGTTGGAGCAGGGAGGGGCTTTGCTCAATGACTTAAATTTAGGGAGGCAAGTTTTTGACCATATAAGAAATGCAAAGATTTTAATATTTAGATTAAGCTAACCAGCACATAATTACCTTAGGCAAGAT